CCACCGCCTCGGGGACAGACGTCTCCCGGACACCATCGGATTTAACACCCAACACCCTGGGCTTCCCCCATGGCTCAGTCGGTAAAGAATCCGCCTGCAATGAAGGAGACCCCAGTTCAATCCCTGGGTTGGGGAGATCCCCTGGAGAAGGAAATGGCAACCCACTCCAGTATTCTTGCTTGGAGAATCCCACGCACAGAGGAGGAGCCTGGCGGGCTACAGTCCATGGGGTCACAAGAGTCGGACACGACTTAGCGACTAGAGAGAGAGACCCTGGGACCAGAGGCTGTAAGAAAGAAGGCCCGTCAACACTGGACAGCGAGGGGGGTCAGGGTCCCTGGACACTGAAGGTACCACAGGCTCCCACCGTGGGGTCGCAGCGTGCACTGGCGCCGTCCTGCAGGACCTCCGTGATGATGGAAACAGCTGAAGCCCTGCTGTCAGCGCGGTGACCACTCGCCACATGCAGCTCCTGAGCTCATGGAGTGTGGCCAGCGCTACTGAGGAACCGAATCGCTATAATTTCATTTCAATTCATTAAACTTTGATACCACCCTGGGAACTAGAGGCTCCCGTATTAAGACAGCACAGTCCTAACCTGTCACCTGAGCTCAAATGTCAAAATCACAGAAAAGTTCTAGAAGTACTGGAGTACCATGAAGAAAAGCAGGATACGATTGCTACGACCTCTCCCATCAGACGCCCCCCACACTGTGAGCCCCCGTTCCCCACCAGAGGAGGCGGGGTGGCCAAGGGGCCTGGGGCACCTGCAAGTTCACTACGATGCCCTAGACCCTACACTTGGACGCTGGAAACCCTATGGGTCCCATGGGTCCATGCTGGAGGGGTCTGTCCCCCGGCAGACTGAGCACCCACTGAGGACGGGCACCCCACGGGACTTTTCTGTGAATGCCCAGCCCCGAGCAAAGGTCTGGGCGCCGCGGGTGCTCAGGGAGTGAAAGCTGGCATCGACGACACCCTGCCCTCTGCTTCTGGCGCATCTGGTCCAGGCAGGGGCCCTGGCTCCTCATCCCACTCATCCTCACAGCCGCCCAGCAAGGCACCGAGGGCGCCTCTCCCAGCCTCGAGGGCAGCGCAGCTCAGACGGGTGGTCTCAGCTGCCCAGGGCCAGTCAGCAGGTGGGCAGCACAGCCGTGCTCAAACACAGGCCTTCTGGCTCCAAAGCCAGGCTCCCAATCTCCAAGCCAGAGCCTCCTGCAGACCCACTCCTAGGGGGGAGGAGGACGCGGGGAGGAGGGGACAGGAAGGGAAGGGAATCGTGAAGTGGGCTGCCTGAAGTCCACGTGGCCCAGGACTCAGAACTCTGACAAAACCCCTAAAACCCCGAAGCGTCCTGAGACTTCCACCCCAGAGCACAGGGGAGAAGGTGGGATCCTCCCTCCTCCTTGGGACAGCCTCGAGGGCAGCGCAGCTCAGACGGGTGGTCTCAGCTGCCCAGGGCCAGTCAGCAGGTGGGCAGCACAGCCGTGCTCAAACACAGGCCTTCCGGCTCCAAAGCCAGGCTCCCAATCTCCAAGCCAGAGCCTCCTGCAGACCCACTCCTAGGGGGGAGGAGGACGCAGGGAGGAGGGGACAGGAAGGGAAGGGAATCGTGAAGTGAGCTGCCTGAAGTCCACGTGGCCCAGGACTCAGAACTCTGACAAAACCCCTAAAACCCCGAAGCGTCCTGAGACTTCCACCCCAGAGCACAAGGGAGAAGGTGGGATCCTCCCTCCTCCTTGGGGCCTGAGTCCAGCTCCCTCCTCCAGAGGGGCAGGGGCGAAACTGGTTGTGGACCAAAGGACAGATTAGACCTGACCATCCCTCAGCTGCCGTGTGACTCAGAGCAAGTCCCTGCCTTCTCTGATCCTCTGGATTAATATGGCAGAGCGCCGGGCACACGGGACTCGCCAAGGGGCCACTTCACCATTCCGAGGGTCCACAGCAAACTAGAAAACTACACCTGGCCTGCATTCAAAGTAACAGCCCCTCCAAGGATCCCAGAGCAGAAGCCGCCTTTGTGACTGCGCAGTTCACCATGTGGGTGTCACAGCAGGGGAATCGCCTGAGGGCAACTGCCCGGGGTGGGGGGGAGGGCGAGGGGAGACCCAGATCCTGCCTCCCAGGCAGCTCCTCCTGCCACACCAGCTGCCACTAGAGACGACCTCCAGGGCGCACCGTCTCTGGTTGAGTGAAACCCAGATTTTGGGGACTGATTCTTCAGTCCCCTCCGTGCTCATTTTGAGTAACGAGCTTTACAGGCAGTGGGGGCTGGGAGGACATGGGACTTCCAGAAGCACCGGTCTCAGCAAGTGCAGGTCATCCTTCCCGAGAAACCGCCTCACTGTTCCTGTCACCATCCCAAGAAATGGGCAAGAAGGATGGACTGGGTGAAGGTCGCGAACCAGGAAGAACGGAAAAAAGGAACAGCAGATACAGGCCTACACCAAACCATGACGCTCTGCTTCTCCCTCACTCCCGGGCTCGCCGTCAACTCAAACAAGCCTTGTACCAGGCACTGGAGCTTGGGCGAGTCACGTCACCTCCCAGAGTTTCTGTGCCGGACTTCTGAAATGGAAGACCACCTCTGGTCAGAGAGCTCCGCAGACGGTTTACTGTGATGATAGACACAGGCCTTCGTGAGTGACAAAGCACGGAGCATGGCTGGGAGTCAGCTGCGCTCAGTCGCTCCATCGTGTCCAACTCTCTGTGCCCCTGTGGACTGTAGCCCGCCAGGCTCCTCTGTCCATGGGATTCTCCAGGGAAGAGTACTGGAGTGGGTTGCCGTTTCCTTCTCCGGGGGCAGGGGGGGTGGGGGAGTGCGGTTCTTCCCTACCCAGGGATCGAATCCGGGTCTCCTGCGTTAGTAGGTGGATTCTTCGCCATTGAGCCACCAGGGAAGCCCTTAAAATGGGTTTGTGTTGTTCAGTTCGACTCTTTGCAACCCCATGGACTGCAGCCCGGTGGGCTCTGTCCATGGGATTCTCCAGGCAAGAATACTGGAGGGGGCTGCCATGCCTTTCTCCAAGGGATCTTCCTGACCCAGGATCGAGTCCACATCTCTATGTCTCCTGCACTAGCAGGCAGGTTTTTTCTACCACTAGCATCATCTCAGGCTGCCGGGTCCACAGGCAAAAGGAGCCGGCAAGGGGCAGATGGAGAAACAGTAAGGGCCTGGAAAGACCATAAGGGCTGTGGGAAAAATAATTTTAAGCTTTGAAAAGGAGGCTCTCTGGGGCTGTGTGCAAACGGACCCCACACCAGGATCTCTGGCCAAGCTGGGTTCTCTGTCTCCGAAGGGAAGAGCCAATGTTTGCTCTCCTTCTGAAAAGCTCTAGGACATGTGTTTGTCTTTGAAAGATGCAAGTTACAAACAAGATGTGAGATTTGGTTATCTAGAAAACTTCCTTAAACTAACACCTCATACCCATCAAGGTGCCCAGCCAGGTTCTGCAAAACCCCAGCAGGCCCCCCAATGCTGGGCCCCTCTAAAGCCTCCCCCATAAGCGTCAAGGCCATGCTTTTCAAGCAAGCTCTACGCCCAAGCCTCCCCCAGCCTGCCAGCAACCCAACTTCTCAGCCACCATCTCCTGCTCACGAAATGGAGGGGGGTAACAGAGAACCACAACTGCCCATCTGCCACTCCGAAATCCTTAAGAATGCCCACATTTTTCACAATTCAGAGGTAGGCAGACCCTGCCCTAAACTGACAGGAGGCCATTTTCAGCCTTCAGTGATCCCACATAACAGGAGGGAAGCGAAGTGCTATCCCGCCCACACCCAGCTGGGGGTCGTATATATATACGAATGATATCCCTGGCTCTAAAAATCTGACCAATTTTGAATGCCCACACTTCCTTTCCTTCTTCCCAAGGACAGCCCAGCAGTGCCTCCAGACTTCCCTCCACCCCTCCACTCACAAGCCCCCTCCTCGGCCTTCCCGGGAGGACCAGGCCTACCCCCGAGGCATCTGGGGCCCTGCACGGCAAGGACAGCCAAGCCTACGGGCTCTCCCAGCAGCCTGCCGGCCTGCTCCTCCGACCACACGACCTCAAGGCCGCCACCCTGGACACCAGGCCAAAGACGCACTGCACTGCCTGGATTCAGAGCAGTCAATCCCTCTCTCTCCAGGACAGCAGCAACAACGGAAACCCGCAGGAATGTTCAAACAGGAAAGTTGCCCCTTTTCCCTACAAACCTCAGAAGAGGCACTACATCAAAAATCTCTTACATCAGGTCCTGGGCACATGCACACCCGCCAGGCCTTCAATCTCAGCTCTGCCTGCTCATCCGCTGTGTGACCTTGGGCAAGCAACCTCCCCTCTCTGTGTCTCGGTGCCCACCATACAGTGGCAGTGGGAACGATCACCTGGACTTCACACAGCGGTCATGAAAGTGACATCCGAATGCTAGGAAATGTGACCGGCCTGGGTCCCGGAAACCAGGATATACCAGGGTAAAGGCGGCGGCCCTGAATCAAGGGGGACACATCGGACACTGCACTCTGGGCACGGGCCAGTCCCATCCCCCAGCCAGTGCCCACGCAGGAAATGAGGGACGCACACAGCCTTGACGCCCCGTTTCACCCCCTCCCCAAGATCATCACCAGGACTTGGCGCTCATCAAAGGGCTGAACCGGACCCAAGAACAGAGAGGTTGAGTGACTGTCCAAGGTCACACAGCCAGCTGGACATCGGGAGGGGAGGCAGGGAAGGGTGGCGGGCCTGGGCCTGTCGCCTGGCAGCTGCCGCCGCCAAACAAGGCTCCATCCCCACAGGACGCCACCTGGCCACGGACACCGGGGGCTCAACCTCCAAACACCCGGTTTCCCGCAAACCCCCGACCTACCACCCCCACCCCGCCCTATCCGGCTCCAGGCATCGCGCCCCGGCCCCCGGCCTCCCACCCCCAGTCAGCCCCCCGCCTCCCCGGGCGCGGGCCGCAGCGTCCACGCCGGCGAGCCGCAGAGCCGGCCGGGGCGGGGTCCGCGCAGGGCTCACCGGACTTGGGGTAGGTGACGATCCATACGTCGCTGGGCCGCACTGGGAAGTTGGCGATCTCCTCCATCTTCCCGCGGCAGAAGGGCGGCAGCCGCACGCCGTGGAACTCGAAGTACTTGCTCTCGAACTCACCCGGCGTGCTGGGGGTCTCTGCCTCGCTCTCCGCCATGCCGCCGCCCGGCCCCGACCCTCGCCCACCCTCCCTGAGGGCCGTCCAAGACCCCTCCCCCACCCTTCTCCTGGCCCACGGTCCGCATCACCTTCATCACGCGCATGTTAACCAACCCAGGGATTCCAGCTTTTCTGCCCTTCAGCAAAGCTTCAACACAAACTCAACAAACTGCAACTAGCAGTGACCCGAAAGATTCATTCATCATTCATTCAACAAATATTTAGGGAGCATCTGATCTGTACCCGCCACGGGTCGAGGGTCCAGAACAGTGATACTGGCAAGAGCCCAGCCCTCTTGGAGCTTACATTTGTGAATAACCAAGACAATTTCAGATCAGAATAGGACCTGTGAATAACACGCTTACAATATCCTGAGAGCAGGAAAGGGTTAAATCTGTTAATTGAAAATTTCCAGGGCCCACCCCAGAACTCAGGATACCCAAGACCCTTGGGGTAGTGCTCCACAAGTCTGTATTTAAAACGTACTTCTAGGCAGACTACAATTCGAGAACAACAGAATTCTATAGAGGTTTTAGTACAACCCCTCATCCATTCACTCAAGAAACACACACAGGCAAAGCTCATTTTATTGTGCTTTGCAGATGCTGTGTTGTTTACAAATTGAACATTTGTGACAACCCTGCATTGTCAAATGATGGCTAGCAATTTTTGGCAATAAAACATGTGTTAATTAAGTCATGTACGTTCGTGACTTTTTTTTAAAGAAACAGTGCTATTGTACAGGTTCAGTGTCCCTGACTGTGAAAAGGGTATGATACTCTCTACTTCTAGGTACTGTAGTTGAGAGGACAGAGACAATTACGCCAGCAAGAATTCAGAGTGGTGGGACTTCCCTGGTGGTCCAGTGGCTGAGACACTGCACTCAATGCAGGAGACCCAGGTTCGATCCCTGGCCAGGGAACTAGATCTTCCATGCCACACAAAGACCGAAGATCCCGCAAGCTTACAACTAAGACCCAACATAGCCAAATAAATAAATTAATTAATTAAAAAAAGAATCCAGAGCAGTGCAGGTGGATAAGACCTACCTTCTCTCTCTCCTTCTTCCGCATGATTGAGACACTCACAGTCTGGCAAGGGGGACATTGGCCACATGTACATGGTGGATGGAAAGTGCAAAGAGAGCATTAACTCTGATTCAGGGGGCTTGAGGATGTCTTTACAAAAATGCAAGAGAAGAGTCCACATACCGAGACATCATTAAGAACGATTAGGTAATGGCACGAAGACAGGCAGCCAAAGACTGGAGGAACTGAGCAAATAAATGAGCTGGTGTTTCAGATGAGGGTCTCACTATGGAAGAGCAAGGAAAACCCTGTCCTTTTAGGTTAGAATCGAAGGTATTTCCTGAATTTATTATTTATTTTAAAAATCTATTTCTTATCTTTGCTGAAAAGGCCTTTAAGCACTGTATTCCAGCAAACCTAGGCATAGCCAGTGCCCAGATCTTGGTTTCTAAATACTTCCCCACCAAAAGGAACCCGAGTTTCTCAAAGAAAAGGCCACTTCCAGGGCTGGGCAGAGAAAGTACAAGATGAGCTTAAAATATTTTGGGGGCAGAAGAAACCATTAAAAATGATGGGGCTAGGTCAAAAGAACACAGGAGCTAGCTTGAAATTAGGAACAAATTAACACTTTGTACCTATTAGACAAGAATTGTAAACAACTCAAATGTCCATCAACATTAAACTGGATAAATTGTGATATATTCATACAATGGAATTACTAAGCAGTGATTAAAAAAAGAATGATTGGTGTAGGCAATATGTGAATTTCACAGTCAAAATGATGAACAAAAGAAGCTAAACAAAAGGCAGTATGTTGGATGATTCTATTCATATACAATTCAAGGACAAAAAAAAACTAATCTATGGTCAGAGGTAAGAAAAGTGTTTAATTTGAGGCAGCAGAGAGGGTTGGCTGGGCAAAGACACAAAAGCACCCTCTAGAGTATTAGAAACATTCTATTAATGTCCTTCTTTCAGTGATGGTCACATGATGATATAAGCATAAATACAGATGAATACAGATGTGAATATAAATTTAGATGCAGACTCCATACCACAGTTTAAGATCCCAAATCACTTACATGGTTTTCCCACCAAAAATTCATATCCTGGATCTAATAAATGAGGACAGAATACAAAACCTAAGGAAAGGAACCATTTGTGTAACAACTGACCTGTACTCTTCAAAAATGCCAATGTCATGAAAGACCAAAAAAAAAAAAAGTTGAAAGAACTTGTTCTAGATAAAAGGAGACTAAAGATAATTGACAAGGACATTCTTGGGGCAATTTGCAATATATGAGTATGGACTCTTTATAAGCTGGTAATATTGTATTCTTGTAATATAATATTGGCGGAATTTCCTGGCGGCTCGGCAGTAAAGAATCCACCAGCAGTACGTGTGTGCACGCTCAGTCACTTTAGTTGAGTCCGACTCTGCCACGCCCATGGACTGTAACCCCCCAGGCTCCTCTGTCCATGGGATTCTCCCGTGGACAAGAATACTGCAGTGGGTTGCCATGCCCCCCTCCTCCAGGGGATCTTCCTGACCCAGGGGTTGAACTGACGTCTCCTGCATCGAAGGTGGATTCTTTACCACTGAGCCACCAGGGAAGCCCTCACCTGCAGTGCAGGAGAGGTGAATTTGATCCCTGAGTTGGGAAGATGTGGTGGGGAAGGAAATGGCAACCCACTCCAGTATTCTTGTCTAAGAAATCCCATGGACAGAGGAGCCTGGCAGGTTACAGTCTGTGGGATCACAGAAGAGTCAGACATAACCTGGCGACTAGACAACAGCAACATTGTATTAATTTTAAATTTCATGAAGTTTAAAACTGTACTGTGGATAGGTAAGAGAATGTTCTTTTTCTTAGTGGGGAGATGCTGAAATATTTGGGAGTGTAGAATTCTGTCTGCAACTTATTTTCAAATAGTTCTACAAAACAACACAATTATAACACAAATGTGTATACATACATTGACAGAGAAGAAAATGTGGCAAATGCTATGGTTGGTGAATGTAGGTGATGACGTATATTCAGTGTTGTATTCTTTTTCTATCACTGCTATAGTGAATTACCACAAACTCAGTGGCTTTAAAACAACACATATTTATTATCTTACGGTTCTGTAGGTCATACAGACCTAATGTGCGTGTCACTATGCTAAAATCAAGGTGTTGGCAAAACTCTATTCCTTTCTGGAGGTTAAGGATGAAGCCAGTTTTCTGCCTTTTCCAGCCACTAGAGGCCACCCGCACTCCTTGGCTCATGGTCCCTTCCTCTGTCTTCAAAGTCAACAATGCCATGGGCTTACTATTTCTCACATCTTATTACTCTGATATTGACTCTTCTTCTATCTCCCTCTTCAACTTTTAAGATCCCTTATAATTATATTGGATCTTCCCAATAAATAATCCAGGGTAATCTATTTTAAGGTCAGCTGATTAGCAAGCTTAATTCCATCGGCAACCTTAATTACCTTTGACATATAACATAGTCACAGGTTCTGGGAAGACATGGACATTTTGTGAGGGGGTGGGGAGGTGTTATTCTTGCCTACCACAGTTGTATTACTTCTTGCAACTTTTCTCTTGACTTAATTTTTAGAATAGAAATCTAAAGAAAAATCTCTGTTAATATAAAAGAGTCTGAGTACCCCACCAAAAAAGCTACTAGACTGAATAAATGAGTTTAGCAAGCTCATAAGACACATGACCAGCAAACAAAAATCAAATACTAGCAATAAACAACTAAAAATTGAAATTTAAAAAATACCCTTTGCAGTATCATCAAAACAACATTAAATGCTTGGGAATAAATCTAACAAAACATGCGAGATTCATATTACAAAAGCTACAAAACATTGATAAGATAAATTTGTAAAATTAAAGAAATGGTGACATATACCCTGGTCATCAATGAGAAGACTCAACATTGTTAAGACACCTGTTCCTTTCAAAATTCATCTATAGAGTCTATGCAATCCCAAGTGAAGTCCCAATGGGCTCTTTTGTAGAAATTAACAAGTTGGTTCTAAAACCTATATAGAAAAGCAAGGTCACTAGACTAGTCAAAACTATTTTGAAAAAGAATAGCAAAACTGGAATGCTCACACTACTTGATTTCAAGACTTACTATAAATCTATTTACCTTAAAGCTAGAAATCAAAAGTGTGGGATTGGTGTAAGCAGAGACATATAGATAAATGGAACAGGGCAGAGTCTAGAAACAGACACGCATATATGATTGATTCATTTTTGACCAAGGCATCTCTAAAGAGCAGGAAACAAAAGATTCTTAGGAGTCGAAACTATCCACCAAGTCCTGGTCTTCCCCATGGGTAGTGAATGCCTCTTCTCTGGGGATTGGTAAGAGGCTGGATAGTCTTTTGTCCTGAAGAGACTCTTCTTAAGTAAGTTCTCTGCCCTGAGAGATCCCCAAGGCTGCAGGGAGACTGAGGAGCGGCCGCCGGCCGCTGTCCGCGGTGCTGAAAGCTCACAGCTCAGATCCTCATGACCACCCGAAGCGGGACTCTGGGTAGACATGACACCCAGTGGCTCTGGTTTTGCTTTGCTTTATGTTCTGTCTTGATGTATATTTTCCTATTTGTACGTACTACCAAATCTTTAAGACTATGCTGTCTTTTATTAGGGAAATGTCAAGCATATGCAAAAATAAAAAGAATAGTAGAATGAATTTCTATGTACCCATCACCCACTGTCAACTGTTACCAACTCAGGTTTCATCAACTCTCACCCACCCCTCCCCACTCAGATTAGTCTGAAGCAACTAATGTGTTATGCCATTACTTTAACATAGATCTCTAAGAGATAACAACTCTTTGAAATCACATTCCCAATACATTAACACAACTAAAAAGTAATGATTATTCCTTAACAACACCAAATATCCAGTTAGTGTACAGTCTCAGACTTGTGGGTGGGATGCTAAGCTCAGAGGGGTTGAGGTATCTGAGGAAACCTGATGAAGCCAAGATTTAGTGCTGGGGCAGAGGCCACCCAATAGCACCCCATGACCCCAGACACAGATGGGCACATACCAACCTGTTGCCAAAGATGACCTTAAGAAAGTCTGAGCCCAGGGTGCTGGCTCAGGCAAGTGCGCACCCACAAAGTGGCCCCTGAGGACACTAGTGCCCAGGAACTACAGGCTTCAATCACATTCCTGCCTAGACAGGTCTAATTCAATACCAGAATTTCTGCAGAAAATCCTGAGCTTCAATATTTATACCCAGGATTCTAGTGGGCAGACAGAATGGAACCACAGCCTGAGATAGTCTTTTTTTAATGATCCTATTTATTTTAGTTTATTTACTGCTAATATTTTTATTTATTTATTTGGCTCCCCTGAGTCTTAGCTGCAGCATGTGCAGAAAGTCAGGACTGGGAGCTGGAGAGCCACTCCCTTTTCTGCCCCACCCTCATCCCCAGACCCTCCTGGATTCTACTCACCATTCAGTCACCTTCTGTTTCTCTGCTTTCACCACCCACCCGCCATGCCCCCCGCCGCCACCAATGACTGCCCAATCCAAACAGTACCCTTCACACCCCAACCTCTGCCTACCCCACAATTGCCTTGCTGGCCACAGTGCACCCCATCACCCTCCTCTTCACTCTCAACTCCAGGCCTTTGCAAGTGCCGGTCCCTCTTTGCACCTGCTGTTCCCTCTGCTCAAAAAACTCTCCGCCGGCTCTCACCTCTCATCTCAGACCTCACATCCAGTACCACCTCCTCAGAGAAGCCCTCCAAGACCACCTGGTCCCAGGTTGCTCCCCACCCCTGATAAACTACCCCACCCCCATCAGTCTCACCCTCCTGTCTCCTCACAGAACTGCCATTCCTGGAGATGATCTTATTTTCACCTTTTCCTGTTTCCTGTTTAGCATCTGTTCTCGTACCCCCACTAGAATATAACTTTTGTTCACAGCTGTGTCCCCAGAGCCTATAACTCGTTAAGTCAGATGAATGAATGAATATGTCTTTTGTTCACACATTTATTCCTTTGCTTCTTTTTCTCTTGCACCTGCCTCCATGTCTCCACCCTTCCCAGTCCTCCTCGGGCTGAGTGTCTCTTAAGGGCCTGGCCAGGGGCTCAGTGTGGGCTCTGCTCTCAGGATGGGAAGAGGAGCGACTCCTGAAAGAGGCTGGAGGAGGTCTGGTGTTCCAGCACCTTCTGTGCCCGTGAGAGGGAGGGGCCAGGCTGGAGGCTCTGCTCATCAAAAATCTTTTTAAGGAACACATCGGAGAGACCTGTGGTGGTGGCAGCCAGGCGCCTTTGGGAACCCCAACAGAAGCACACGTAGCTGAGATTCTGAGATTTTAATCCCTCTCTCTCCTCCCACCCTCCCATCTCCTTCCGGGGGTTCCCTGGGGAAGATACCCAGAGGAAGTCAGAGGTCAAGGTTTCTAGAGTGATGCAGAGCATGGGGATTATCCCCCAAGGGCTAGCGCAGGACAGAAAAAGTCAGAAAGGATCAGAGAGGCAGCACTCCTCTCCCTGACATTTCCATTTGTTCCCTGATCAGTGCAAGTGAAAGTGTCAATCACTCCGTGGTGTCTGACTCTGTGTTACCCCATATAGCCCGCCAGGCTCCTCTGTCCATGGAATTCTCCTGGCAAAGATCCTGGAGTAGGTTGCCATTTCCCTCTCCAGGGGATCTTCCTGACCCAGGGATGGAATCTAGGTCTCTTGCATCCCAGGCAGATTCTTTACCGTTTGAGCCTCCAGGGAAGCCAGGGGTCTGATATGAGCCTGTAGCATTTTCTCCACCTTCCCTGAAGTACCTTGCACACTGCTTATTCCCCGAGGTGCTGCCCCAAGTCCTCCAAATGGAAATTCTAGAACCAGACATGTGTCTCAGCCCCTGCCTTCCTTCCTCTCTGCGATGAGACAGGAGGATGACCCAGGCACACAGTGACCTAGAGGTGTACTAACAGGCTGTGTCTCACCCAGAAAAGAAGAACCTGAAGCCCCAGGAGCGGGGTGGGGGGGGGCGGGGTGCAGAGAGACACAGGAAGGGCCTCTTCTCACTCCTGCCCATGTGGCTTGTGACAAGAGTCTCTGTCCTCTCCACCCTCCACGTGGCTGACAATTCCAGTGCCCACCCTGGGCTAGGGTCTGGCTCTGAGCTCCGGGAGATGGGTCAGGACTCAAGGACTGGGGGCAGGTGCGGACACGGGACAAGGGCCATGATGGGAGGCAGGGGAGGCCAGTCACTGGGCTGGGCTGGCACGGTCCCCTGAGGCCTGATGGGTGGGTCTGGGCTCCTCGGCCAGGTCCTTGGGAGGAGTGGCTTTAGGCTGGAGGGGGCTGGTGACAAGCAGGCTGCGGAGGAAGCAGAAGCCAGCAAAGGCAAATTTTCAGAGCCTAGGATTGGATGAAGCCCTGGGTTGCTCTTCTCCCAAATTCTGCAATAAACGCTTATCCTGGCCAAGCAGGGGTGGCAGGAAGGTTCCAGGGTAGCCGCTGCCTGGGAACATGGTGCCGACTTCCTCGTTTAGCAAGTGGTGCCGGGTGGGTGTAAGGGGCGGGGTGGGAGGGGGAAGGCTGGGGTCTCCAGTGAGGAGGGAGGCAGGTTGGGGAGACCCCACACCAGGCCCGGGGGATGTCTGGAAGGACAGCAGGAGGACTGGTGGGGATCTGGCAGAGCAGAGAGACCCACTCATGCCCCGTGACCTCAGGCCGTCCCTGGGGATGAAGGGGGCAGAGTGACCCCCCCCTCAAGACTGATGGATGTGACTGACCAGCTCCTGCCTCGAGGCCACCATGGGTCTGGCCCACAGCAGGGACTCAGCACGTGTTCCAGGGCTGCACGAATGGGTGGATGGGGACACGGATGATGCGACTGCCTGCCCAGGGTCCAGGGAACCAGCGAGCACCTCCCTCCCCCAGAGCGGCCAGCTGCCCTGCCCTAGGCCTGTCTGCCCGTCTCACCCAACCAACCTAAGGAGCTGGTCCTTCATCCTGGAATAGACCTCGAGGGCCAAGCTCCTCAGCAAGCCTTGCATCCACCACAAGTCGGCCGGCACATCCGGCAGCCACGCCACCAACCTGGAGAAGAGGCAGAAACAGCGGCCCTGGTCTGTGCCCAGCCGAACGTGCAGCCTGGAAGAGCCCACCCTCCCCACGGGGCCGGAGCAGAGCTGGGGTCCCCCGCACCCAAGCTCCAGGGCTAAAGGAAGGAGGAAGCAGGATACGGAGCTCCAGGCGCTTTGACTGCACTGCGGAGCAGGCCAGCACCTTCAGAGGCACCAGGGGGCGGGGAACCATCCCCACGGACCATAAACTTGATGGAAACCACCAGGCCCTCGGGGTCATCGACTCCAAAGGGCACAAGTGGGAAGCCCTGGGGTGGAAAGGCCAGGGCTTTGGGGTCAGGCTGGCTTGCGCTGTAGCCCTGCTGCCCTGTTCATCCACTGTGTGGTCTCAGCAGGTCAGGAAACCTTTGGGGGCCTCGGTTTCTCTCCAAGCAAGTGAGGACCATCACCGCACCGCCTCCATATTTCTGTCCCACCCCCTCCCTGAACAGCCCCTGCCCTCCACCCTTCACACCCCTTCATCCACACTCCTTTAGGCTGCCGGTGGCTTCCTAAACACATGTGACCTCCTGCCCAGCATCCTCCTGGGGCTCCCCACGAAGACCACACAGGATCAGTAGAGGGCAGCATCACCCAACTACAGCTGAGAGGACGCCTGGCCAGGCACTTTCTGAGACTCAGACAGCCCATCCGGTGTACTGTGACAAGCCAAATGTGAATTGAACCGTCCCCTCCCTTGTTTCTGGACTTTCTGCCCCTATCATTGGAACTTATATGTTGAGTATGTGCATGCTCAGTCGCTCAACTTTGTCTAACTGCTTTTGACCCCATGGACAGTAGCTTGCCAGACTCCTCTGTCCATGAGGTTTTCCAGGCAAGAATACTGGAGCAGATTGCCATTTCCTGCTCCAGGAGATCTTCCCGACCCAGGGATCAAACCTGCATGTCCGGCATTGCAGGCAGATTCTTTATTGTCTGAGCCGCCAGGGACGCCCCAAACTTAAAGTTATGTTCTGCCCCATGGTGTTTTTTGAGGGTGCAGTTGTTGCTGTTTAGTTGCTAAGTTGTGTCCGATTCTTTTGCGACCCCATGGACTGTATCCTACCAGGCTCCTTTGTCCATGGAATCTTTCAGGCAAGAATACTAGAGTGGGTTGCCATTTCATTCTCCAGGTCTCTTCCTGACCCAGGGATCAAACTTACTTCTCCGGGCATTAGCAGGCAGATTCTTTACGACTGAGTCACGAGAGAAGCCTCAAAACATCACCCTGCTTTGGCCAGTAATCGAACCCGGGCCTCCCCTGTGGCAGGCGAGAATTCTCCCCCTGAATCACCAGCGCTGTGGTTGAGCATTAGGTTACAGAGAAGACCCCTGTGGTCTGGGCAGGTGGCTCCATCAATGCTCTTACAATGATCTTTTTGTAACTGAAATGGCTAGAACTTGCATTTATCTTTTTTGATTTCAACTGTGGTTGCAGTCTAAAAGCTCAACATAAGGAAAAGTCCACATCAGCAGAAAGCTGCCTCCCAGCTTTGGGTCATCAGCAGTTCAGACAGCAGGGCTGACCCAGTAATGGACTCTGCAGAGACACATGACTCGCTGTCATAGACCTTCTTCCGGGGACTGGGGAAATTTTAAAAAAATACAGATCAATACATGATACTTTCCTGCTAGAATCCTCCTTGGCCTCCCTGTAACCATCAGGATAAAGACCACACCCCTCACCTGGCCACAGACTCCTGTGTGTCTAGCCCCTGCTGGCTTCCTCAGCTCCATCTTGTACACACTCCAGATTTTGGCTTCAGCCACACTAGCCTCCCTTTCTGCTCCTCAGATGAGCTTTACTCCCTCTGCCTTCTGCCCCAGGAACTTTGCACATGCTGCTCCATCCTTCTTGGCCTAGTGGACTCTTATTCATCCTTCAGATTATAGCTCCAAAATAATCCCCTCTAAGCAGCCTTTCCTGATCACATAGCCTGTCTTGTGAGTTGCCCCTGTTCCCAGCCACTGTACACCTCTCCTAGGAATCCATAGCCACTGTTGATCTCTCTAGGTATCCGTAGGCACAGCTGGATCACACAGATAAATATTTGACGATCGGTAGCCTGTGATCCCCAAAAGGTCAGGGCTGGGGCTCGGTCAGTCTTGCCTCCTGGCCCCCAGCCAAGGCTTGACCCTTGAAGGGCCCTCAATAACTGTTGGTGGAATGAATGACCAAACAACAGGGATTGATCCATTAACCAGCAAAGTTAGACGGTTAGTGAGGGCCTAGTCTGCTAGTCTGCTCTAGAAGGGCCTCATTTTACAGAAGAGGAATCTGGGGAGAGAGGTCAAGATACCTGGCCTGGGCCACACAGTTAATCTGAGGCAGACCAACCCCTAGAGCTACCCTCAGAAAGAACTCATTCCCTCTGAGGCTCTGACAGGTGGAACAATGGACCAAAGATCCTAGAGATGGGAGGGTCCAGGCTGACCATGAGACCCTGTTTCCAGTGGACTAAAGTCACAGCTGTTACCCAACCACCCCATCAGTCCCATTTCCCAGAGGAGACCAAGACTCCTCAGGGCCTGCAGCCAGCATCAGGTGGTGTGGGAAAACCAGCTCTGCTCTGCCCCCCGGCCCAGTGTGCCAGCTGCCCTTCCTGCCACAGGCACCGGTCTCAAGAGGTCAGACCCTTCCCAGGACCCCTGGCCATGCCTCACCTTCTGCTCCGGAAATAGACGTACTCAAAGGGCAGCGTGCAAGGCAGCAGCAGGTACATCAGCACCCGCCCGGGCCCCGAGCGGCAGAAAGAGGCCCAGGCACTGGGGTCCCGCAAGCAGGCTTTCTTCAGTGCTACGAGAGAGGCCACAGTTGCCCCCTGACCCCTCCAGCCGCCCACTCAAGGTCACCCTTAGGGAAGACAGCCCGAGCCCCTCTCCACCTCCCCTGGCCCACAGGGGACACCCCCACTCCCAGCCAGTCTGCAGGGGAAGCAGCTGCATTGACGGAGCCCCACACAGGCTCCCTCCTTAGTCCTGAAATGGCAGAGTGTGCCCCTTTGACAGATGAGGAGACTGAGGCTCAGAGCGGAACAGTGACTCAGCCAAGCCCATTGCTAGGAAGTGGTGGGGCCAGGACGGAACCTGTCGGGCTCCCTGCACTCCTTCCACCTCTCCTGCCCCTCTGGAAAGTCTGCTGTGGCCCCTGGGGGGGACAGTGCCCACCATACCTCCTTCCCATAACATCGGCACTATTGATGACAGCAGCTGTGACCACACGACCACTTCCTAAGCCCCCAGCCCCTTAACTGATCAGAGTGCAAGGGCCCAGCATCCTCACTGGGATACAGCCAGAACCCAAATCCTGACCTCCAGACCATGGCTTGGCCATGCACGCACCACCAGTCTCAACTCCAGGTTCTTGCAAAACCCAGTCCCAAGACCTGGCTCCCTGTAACCTGCCGTGTGGCCTAGGATGGGTCCCTTCCTGTCCCTGAACCAGGTCACTGCCTCTGAAAAATGGGATATTGGTAGGATCTCCATCAGTAGAGGAGGCCAGGATTAGGAGATACTGTAAAGGCCTTCAGAGGAGCTCTCTGGTGCCCCCTTGTGGCTGCAGGGCCACCTCTCGGGTTCCAGAGCCCCAAGCTTGGACCTCAGGGGCTCTGCCTAGATGCAGACCTGCGTCTTTGTGCCTGTGTGGTCTTCCAGGCAGAAAGAGGGGCTCGCCTCATTTCCTCACCCACTCCCTTGTCCCTGCTCTGGCCTTGACCACCATCACCTCTCCTCCCAGCTTCCCACCTCTTCAGCCTGTCTCCTCTCAGCTAGGTGCAGTCAACACTGGGACCCAGAGTTCAGAGCAGCCGTGAACTCTGAAAGTGAGGGGTCACCCTCACCCCGGCAGCTCCCAGTCTCTTTCCTCCTGCAGCTTTTGAGGCCATCTGCCCCACCCTCCAATCGTCCCCAAGCTGACCTCTGCTAACCCACCTCTCCCTCAGCTGCAGGGGCCCCCGTCCCTCCCCACCAACCCCAGGACATTTGCACAGGCCACGCCCACTGCCTGGATGCCCATCTGGCCCCTTTTGCTTGGCCAGCTCCTCCATTCACACCTCACTGAGATGCTGCTCAGACTCCCACTCCCACGGCCACGACATGTGCCTGTCCTTTCCTGTTGGGGCTTTTGTGACATTTAGGTCACCAAGCAGAAGGGCTGACTAATTGCTTTGCCAGCTGGGTGACCTTGGGCAGGTCACTTAAGCTCTCTGTGCTATGGTTTCCTCAACTGTCCAGGGGGGACCATTCAGTACCATCCTCAGAGTATTTGGGGCAGAGGATAAAATGAGTCCGTCTCCACCTGGAAAGCCTGTGTGTGCCTCTCCTTTGCCCCTCGGCACCTTCTGCCCTTCCCTGGGCAGTGGGCAAAGACCTGGCTTTCTCAGGAGTAGACTTGGGTTCGAATCCCCCAGTTGTAGGTCCTGAGACCTTGGTGAGCCCCTTCCCTTCTCTGAGCTTCAGTTTCCTCATCAATGAAATAGGTGATGAAAAACACTCAGGCCCGCTCGGGTTGTGGTGAGGAGTGAAGGGGGCAAGGTGTAAGAGGCCCTGGGCATCATGCCTGGCACGCCTGAGTCATGTCCTCTTGCAGACTACGAGCACCTTCAAGGCGGGGTCCCCGGCCCTGGGCCCCCCAACGTGCATGGCTCCTGGAAGGTGAGCCCAGATGGGATGGGAGGGGCAGTACCAGCCTCCAGCTCTGGGGAGAGCTGCTCAAAGTCGGGCACGTCCTTGACCAGCACGTTGGGCACTGCCCAGTTGAGCGACAAGCCCGCCTCCTGGCCTCCATCGTGGGCAGCACCTGGGGCCCCATCAGCTGGGGCTGGGGGCTCCTTAGACACCAAGCTCCACAGCACTGGCTCCTTGGTGAGTCCTGGGTGGAGGGAGAGGGGGGATGCCACAGCTGGAGCCTCCCGGCGACACTGACCTCCCCAGCGCCCCATGCAGCCCGCCCCACCCGCACCCCTCGGCTCCCGGAGCCAGCTCTGGGGACCCGTTGGCTGCAGGATGGGCGGACCCTCGGCGGGTCCTAAATGACTTTGTCCTGCGCTCCCTGGCCCCACTCTGTCTGCCGTCTGATTCCTGTGTGCTTTCTAGGGGTTCACAGGCCTCAGGCCCAGAAGATCCAGCTTAAGGCTCGGATCCTGGGGTCACCACCGCCAGCTCCGTGATCTAACAGCTCCGTACATGGCTTCCCTCCCTAGAAAATGGGGGTGGGGGGGGGAACTAAGACCTACTGGGTATGGTTGTTTGGATGCAATCAATACACAAAGCTCAAGCCCAGGTCGGAGCTTTCTATGTCTGAACATATTATGTGCTCAGTGAGTGCTTCCGGCTGCCGAGGGTTTGGGGCCATAGAGTAGGGGTCAAGGGTCATGGGCTCTGGAGCCAGACGACCTGAGTTCAAGTCTCAGCTCTACCATGTTGAAGAGCACGGCCCTGTGGGATGACAGCCAAGCTCTCCAGCTAAGAAGACCTCTCTGACCCGCCCAGTGCTCCGTCTCACACACACACACACACACACACACACACACACACTCCTATGGCCCCACCGAGGTATGCACCCTTGAAGTGCCATGTCCTGTTCCTTTGCTCTTGCCCTTCTTCTCCCTGCCTAGAGTGCCCTCTTCCTTCCCATTGTCAATATTTCTGTAGCCTTCGTGACTAGTTAAAACCCAGCTTATCAGTCACCACCTCCAGGAAGCCCTCGTTGCCCGCCCCACCCACCAGACTGGGTTGGGGCCCCCGCTGGGCTCCCGTGACCCTGAGCATCCCTCCATCATCCTGGGGCATGTCTCTCTCTTGATCTGTCCCCCTCGCACCAGGCAGCAGGCAGCTGGAGACTAGGAGACATGTGTGATTCCTCCCTGGGTCCCCAGCATCCGGCACAGAGCAGATGCAGAGGAAGAGAATGAATGAGCCAAGGTCCCTGAGAACTCAAATAGCTGAGAGGCAGGATCCACCTGGCACTCACATGGGGGGGGGCGATGCCCAGCTCCTGTGGGGGGCCGCCACCTACCGCGTCTCTCCAGGAACCTCAGGGCATCCAAGTAGCCTTGTCTGCAGCTGTCGGCCATTACCTGCCAACACACGGGTGAGGCTGGGGTGCGGCAGGCCTGCACTGCCCCTCAAGCCAGTAGCCACAGGCCAGAAACTCATCTTCAACTGGATCCCAGGGCAGCCTGGGCTTTCCGAGACCCCCTCTCAGCAGGGCTCAAGGACACCGAGGGTCCCTGGCCAGCACTGACTGGGGAGAGTCCCAGGACCTCAGAGGGGAGGCATCTTCTCCAGCAACTCCCTCCCGACAGCTTCATTCACCTTCCCACTCTGAGACACCCTGGGGGCTGGGGGCTTTTGCTCCAGATTCTCCTTTTCTGGCCTCAGTTTCCCCCTCTGGAAAATGGGATCACAAGGCCTGGCCTGGGATGTCTGAGCCCTACAGATCAATACACGGCAGTGCCCTTTGCCCTTGGGTGTTCATGGCCAGGACCACCCTGAGATGGCCAAGGCTCTCAATCAGAGCCCTACCAGAAGCAGAGAGTCACCTGCAGGCCTCGCCTTCCTCGGCTGTAAAATCGGGCTGAGATTTTCTGTCCACTCCATGGGTGTAGGGAGGATCAGCTTAAATGAACAGGACTTTGTTTCATGAATTACAAAATATACACAACCATAAAAGAAGTGGAGGACTAGGAGAGGGCCAGAGTGTGGCATGAAGGAGCTTGTTAGGATGACAAATGGTTGTCAAATCACCCACGTCCCAGAAATTCCCAAAGAGCAAAAAGCAGGAAACAGGGGTCTATTGTCCACCTTTTTCTGTGCTTGTACCTTGCTGCCATACAGAGGGTCAGTCTGGCCACAGTCTAGGGCAGCCGTTAAGACTGATCATGGGTTCGGGCTAGCTGAGGATCTGAAGTCTGGCTTTGCTGTTTCTAGGCTGTGTGACTTTGAAGAAGTTGCTTACCCTCTCTGAGCCTTGGTGTCCTTCCCTGAGGAAGAGATGACCGCAGTACCTTGTCACCGAGCCTGACCCTGAATAGCACCCGCAGAGGCCTGGCTTAAACCCCAGTTCAGCAGAGGTGCCTTGGGGTGCTGCCCTGAAGTGAAGAGTCAAGACACATCGGGAGCCCAGGCTGCGTTCAAGGGCTTGACCGTGAGGCTCAGGACACACATCCTAACTGCCCCGAGCTTGTGGGGAGGGCTCCCGGGCACAGAGTCTGACTCATGGGGCACTAGAGCATGGCCAAGCCTCTAACACCTTCAAGGCTGGTCACGGGGAGGGGGGGGGCCAGACCTACCTCGGGGCTGCAGGGGATGAGGGAGGTGATGCCCAGGAAGAAGTTCTCAGTGGAGATCTGGAAGTTGGCGTTGAAGGCGTTCAGCTCGTGTATGCTAGCCGAGCTGCTCTGAGGACAGATGTCCACCGTCCCATGGAAGGGCGACACGGTGATGGCGGAGGGCGAGTCCGCGAAGGGCAGGTTGTTGCTTAGAGCGCCGTCAATGTAGCGCTGCAATTCAGGGGGCCTGGCTGCCCTGGGAGTGCTCTCCGCCCACACGGCCACAAAGCCACCCCCGGAAACTGCCTGCAGCAGGTCACCTCCAGCTGCCCGGAGCCACTAGGTCAACCCCTAACCCGGGCTGCCCTGAGCACCCATGGGACCAGGGTGTGGGGGCGGCTGACACACCCAGTAAGTGCTGCAGGAGCCCTGGGTCCCCCACCCACACCTCTCAGTAGGGCTGGGGCAGATGGGTCATCGAGGCCCGGAAGTGCACTCACCTTCCCTCTGAACGTGGGAGGAATCGTCCCACAGTAGAAAGGGAAGTACACGGAGCAGACCAAGGCCTGGGGAGATAAGCCAGTGATAACACAATTGTTTACGCCCCCAGAGTTCAGAACCTGCTCTGGGCGTGCAGTCTAACCCAGAACAGCCCACACCGGTGTCAGGAGAGCTCTGTCCAGGGAGAGGAGGTATCACCTCGTCCCAGCCTAGGTCTCAAAGTTAAGAAGGGGTTTGAGAACTGCGGTTCGGTGCTCAGGGCTCAGCGCTTCCACTGCAGGGCCAAGGGTTCAATCCCTGGTCAGGGAACTAAAATCCCGCAGGCTGTGGAGTGCAGCCAAAAACCAGAAACGTAAGAGGGGATTTGAACAGGAGTCCGTCGTGACACCTGCCCTCTTCCTGCTCGGTCCCTTGCTGACTCAGGACTGTTGCTGGGACTTTTCCCTCAAGGATAGACAGACACCTTGAGTACCATTTCTCCTTTATCCAACTGCCAGGAATTCTGCACCGAGAATCTAGGTATGTCTCCTAGAATGTGCTCCCTGGACCAGGGGTCATCCTACCAGGGGCACCTTTGACAAGAAACCCCGATTCTCTCCCCATTTGGAAAACACTGTCTACTCCTCCCAGTAGAGGCTCTGACAAGTCCTGCGGTGAAAAAGATACTTAACAGAGACCCTGATACGAGTGACGTTTGGGGTCTGGAGAAGTCTCCATTGGCAAGAGGGCGGCTGTCCTGTGCATTGCAGGATGTTTAACAACATCCCCAGCTTGTACCCTGTAGCTGTCAGTAATTTGTGCTCGCAAGCGCGCGTACACACACACACACACACACACACACACACACAAACTCACATAGAGCTATCACAGCCAAAAATGTCTCCAGTGTTGCTAAATGTCTCCAGGTGGGAAAATCACCCTTAATTGAAAGCCGCTGACCTAGGGCTCACCAGACTCATCGAGCATAGAACCCTGTCTCTTGGGACTCAACTTCTGGAAACATCCCCCCAACGTTTTCTGGGAGACGCAGAACCCATCCCACCTCTGACAGGAGAGAAGTGCAGCTGAGAGCTTTGTTCCCATGGATTCGTCATCAGAGCACCAGCAGCTAACGTTTACTGAGCACCTACTGAGTGCCAGGCCCTGTACTATGTGCCATCCAGGCCCGGATCTGGGACACTCATTGGAGTCCCAGGAGCCCATGGACTTGAACTCGCAGCAAAGGACTGGTGCCTCTCTTGCACACACTGGGCTTCCCGCCTGCCGATGCAGGAGACATAGAGACGCAGGTTTGACCTCTGGGTCAGGAAGATCCCGCCGAGGAGGGCATGGCAACCTACTCCAGTATTCCCTCCCGGAGAATCCCATGGACAGAGGAGCCTGGTGAGCTACAGTCCATGGGGTCTCAAAGAATTGGACACGATTGGAGTGACTTAGCACAGCACTGCATACACCGGTCAGGACCCAGAGATGGTCCCCATGTGGGGTGATGGGTCACCATGGTGAAGAGGATTCTGCTGCAGGGACCCGGCTGGCAAGGCTGAGCAGAGCTGTGCCCGACACTTTGCTGGGCTCCCCAGGGACCCTGCCCCTCCTTGATTCTGGGGCTCCCTGTTGTAGCCCCCGATGTTATTCCAACACTGGATTGTTTCTTATTTCCTTACATGAGCTTGTGGCCATTATCTGTACCCTCTTTGAATAGGAGCCCCTGGAAGACAAAGATTTTTGTCTGTGTCATTCTGCTGTCCCCACTTGGGGTGGTGACTGGCACATAATAGAGAACTGATGCTTCCCTGCTGCATCAAAAAGCACCTTGAGGACCAGGTTGGGGTGGACAGGCACCCCCCCCCTCCGGGAAGAGCAGACCCAGTGGGGCCCCGGCTGAAGAAGCCTGAGTTTGCCCCTCTACCCCAGCCACACCCTCCGTGTACAGCTGAGAGACCTCCAAACAGCAGGCTTGGGGGCCATACTCACGTGGCTGCCCCCCTGTGCAACTCAACTCCCTCGTTAGTAAACAAAATGAGGTCTATCTCCTGCTTGATCCGCACCCCCTTCCCAGGGACCCAGAGCAGAGTCTGCTCTGGAAGGCGCCTGCAGGTCACTGGGGTAGGAGATGGCGCTCACGCACCTGCTGCCAGGCCCTGCGTCCTGCCCCCTGCTCACCTCAATGACCTCATCGCGGGTGGCGAAGTCGGTGACAACGACGTTCTCGCCGTTGGGCCAGTGGGTCAGTGAGATGCCCAGCCGCTGGGAGGCCAGGATGTGAACGTCGGCGGGCAGCCAGTCTTGCAGGTCCTGCCTGATGGTCTCGATGGGCATGAAGGCAGGGTGGAAGATGCCTAGGCTCAGCTGCTCCACTTGCTTGACCATGGCCATAAGGCGGGAGCAGCACAAGTCTGCAGCGTGGGGGAGAGGGGGTCCTCAGTCCCTAACCTCCCTCCCGGGCGCCGTGGGAATGATGGTCTCCCCCCTGCACTCCAGCTCAGAGTTTGTGTCCAGCGCTGCTTCCAAACGCTCTGTGCAGGGGCCTTCCCTGGTGGTCCAGTGGCTAAGACTCTGGGCTCCCAAAGCAAGGGGCCTGGGTTCCATCCCTGGTCAGGGATCCCTAGATCCCACATGCTGCAACTAGAAGATCCTGCATGCCACAACTAAGGAACCAGGCACAGCCAAATAAATAAATAATAAAATAAATAAATAAATGCTCTGTGCAGCCTCTTGACCTTGGGAACAGTCTTCCAGGCTCTAAACCTCAGATCTATCCTCTGGAAAATGGGGATGCCGGTGGTCCCACGTCCTTGGGGTTCTCATAAGGATTAAGTGGGAACGGGCTGGCTGTGGGGAGCGCAGGGCACCGCGCCAGGCTCCCTGAGACAACCCTCTCCGAGCCCGCCCTCTCGGGTTGGAATCAGCGTCGACTCGGGCAGACAAGCCGATGCTCCCTGCGCTCCTGGTCCACGCAGTCGGCCGCCGGACTCACCGACAGACAAGCCGCTGACGACGCTGGCGGCTACGAGCGCCCCGGAGGAGGAGCCGTAGAAGCGTCCGGCGCCGCGGAGAAGGCGTGGGGCGCGCTGCCTCAGGCAGTGGATCACCCCCACGTGGTAGAGACCCAGGAAGCCCGCGCCCGCGAAGGACAGGCTCCAGCTGCCCTCCTTCTCGAAGCAGCTCATGGCGATGGGGCCGGACCCAGGGATGCGGCCGGAACAGGGTCGGGAGCGGGCGATCGCTGGCGGACGGGGCAGAGAGGGGTTGCTCCAGCGGGAAGCTTCACTGGTTGAGTGCAAAGTTGGACTTGTGGCCAAGAGGTGAAGCTCAGGCGGGAGCCCAAGCCCCGTCCCCAGGCTGCATCACCCGCCCCACCAGCCAATGAGGTCCCTCGAGCCGAGACCCCGCCCCCCCCATCCCCATCCCTATCCCCTGGTGTGCACCAGATGTGCCCTGGAAGCGTCAGCACAGGTGTGAGCACCGTAACACACCCCCACAGGCACGCCCTTGGTCCGGAGCCCAGTCCCAGATTTCTGGGTGATGGGGCCTCAGGTGAGCGGGACCAGCTCTTCTGTCAGGTCTCTGGCAGTCATGAAGGGAGGGCTGTTCTGGCCCCCATTTCACAGATGAGGAAACTGAGAGTGCAAGGGAACCTGGTAGCCAGGAAGTGGGGGAGCTGGACACACAGTATCCATCGGGTCTTGGGGGTCAAGTCAGACTTAATTCTGCAGCTGTGTTGGATCAGGGACCTGGGAGAGCCCTTGGAGGGGGAGTCTGAGTTCTAAACTCAGCCCCACCCCCCCCCAACCTGTGCCTGGGACTTTGCTCAAGTTTCTCACTCGCTCTGGGCTGCAGTTTTCCAGTATAATGTGAGGGCTTGGATGAGGACCTGCAGAGCTCTTTCTGCTCTGATTGCTGCTCCCTCAAACACAGACCTGTTAATGGACCTTGCAGTTGCTTCCATTTCTTGGTTGTTGTAAACAGTGCTGCTATGAACATTGGCGTGTATGGGAGAAAGAGAATTCCAGAAAAAATATCTACTTCTTCTTCATCGAGTATGCTAAAGCCTTTGACTGTGTGGATCACAACAAACTATGGAAAATTCTTAAAGAGATGGGAGTATCCGACCATCTTACCTGCCTCCTGAGAAATCTGTATGCAGGTCAAGAAGCAACAGTTAGAGCCAGACAAGGAACAAACTAGTTCAAAATTGGGAAAGGAGTACATCAAGTCTGTATCTCAACACCTTGCTTATTTAACTTGTATGCAGAGTACAAGTTATGCTCATACAAAATTCCAGACTGGATGAATAACAGGGTGGAATCAAGATTGCTAAGAGAAACATCAACAACCTCAAATATGCAGATGTCACCACCTTTATGGCAGAAATCAAAGAAGAACTAAAGAGCCTCTTGATGAAAGTGAAAGAGGAGAGTGAAAAAGCTGGCTTAAAACTCAACATTCAAAAAACTAAGATCATGGCATCCAGTCCCTTCACTTCATGGCAAAGAGAAAGGGGAAAAGTGGAAACAGTGACAGATTTTATTTTGGGGGGGGGGGCCACAATTACTGGGGATGGTG